TATTGTAGGCCAAGGACAAGCCTCGAGGCACTGACTGCCACACAGGGAGTCACACCTTGTGTATCACAATTATTGTAGACAAGGACAAGCCTCGAGGCACAGACTGCCACACAGGGAGTCACACCCTGTGTATCACAACTATTGTAGGCCAAGGACAAGCCTCGAGGCACTGACTGCCACACAGAGAGTCACACCCTGTGTATCACAACTATTGTAGACAAGGACAAGCCTCGAGGCACAGACTGCCACACAGGGAGTCACACCTTGTGTATCACAACTATTGCATGCCAAAGACAAGCCTCGAGGCACAGACTGCAGTCCAGGCTTATTATAGTGCCCACATTGTATTGTATATTTATGGGTGTGGCAATTCGTCAGTGTACTTTCTGTTCAAATTTGATAAAACACTAAAATTTGAATGTGCTGAAATGAGAATGTTTACAGGATATGAATTTAACTTTTTTCTTCATTTTCGAAATATCTAATAGTACCTCACTTTTTGTACTTCTGTATAATTCTGTGTAACAGAGCACAGTATGGTGGACATAGGTCACATGATAGGTACATGGAGGAGTATTTAAATAATATTAGCTGCATATACATTTCTTTATTTTGTATTTACTATAAATACAGATGACGATATATGTTTTAACTGTTGAGAAGTTTGATTTCTGATCGAATGTTGTAATCTTCCTTCAACTCCCTTCTTCTTTTTATCATCTATTATCTGCAACATGAGCAGGGTTTGAGCTAATCTGCTGTCCCACTGGATCGATCCATGACAATGTTAAAATAACCTTGGATTCGTTGAATACCATGCATGTATTCCTTGAAGAATTGAGCTGGACCCACAAGCTTGAGTAAGAGTGGATTGACTGTGTATATATAAGGTTTTTGTGTAAGGAAAGGGATATTTTAATGGTGTATTTTTCGTATGCAGGACCCCCGTAGGAGTGGACACCAGCAACACAGATCACATGAACTACCTCAACGACATGTGTGAAGATTTCGAGATCAAGATGACAAGGATGATAGAAAAATCACTGAAAAAAAAAGACAGCAAACATTTTGGTATCAATGAAAAAATGTATATAGAGATTCTACAGCATCTACATTTCGCCAATCATAAAAGTCGAGTGTTCTGTGGACGAGCTGGTCTGCTGGAAACAGTCCGACAGAAAATGATGGCAACTCACACTGTTACTGATGTTGAAGGTCAAAGTAAAGAGAACAGGGAAAAGGACACAGATGAAATGGATACATCTTCTGTTGTATCTTTATATCAGTCATTGGATGGACAAATTTCCAAGAAAGATTTGGATGAACTCAAACAGATTCAAGCAGAACATCAAGGAATAAAAGAAAGATTGAAGCAGCTGGGTATAATATACAATCACGCTGACCTTGACCTTGATCACGAAAATGACCCTAGCCGAAACCCAAAAGCTGAAATGATCCGCTTACCAGCGATGAAAACCTATTGTCGGCCAGTCACTATTTATGGCAGTTCGGGGTCAGGAAAAACATCAGTGATGGCAAAGATAGCTGAACTTAGTAAAACATGGTTTCCGAATTCTGTTCAGATCGTACGTTTTTTGGGAACTTCAGCCAATTCGTCTTCTATCCGTGACGTACTTCTGGGCATCTGTCTACAGATCTGGGTGTTGTACAAAGTGAAGCCCCCTCTGAACCTTGACCTGGAGAGTGATTTCCACTTTCTCACTCAGTATATGTTAGCTCTGCTGTGGAGGATTAAGACCAAGGACCGACCACTGGTTATCCTTCTAGACTCTGTTGACCAGCTTCAGCTGACTGACCATGCAAGTACCATGCATTGGCTGCCTCTCAAGGTGCCACCTGGTGTTCACATTGTCGTGTCAGCCATACCTCAACACAACAATTGTTTGGAAAACCTCCGCTCTCTACTACCTTCACATGACTGCATGATCCACGTTCCTTCTTTGTCACAAGAAACTTCAGAAAACATGATAAAAAATGCTCTGAAAGAAAAAAGTCGTCGACTTACAAAGCTTCAGTGGCGCCATCTGCTGGACAAGACTGCGAAGGTAGGCCAGCCACTTTACGTGAAGCTGTTGGCTGACCGGGCTGTAACGTGGAAATCTTCTACTGCCATGTCCAAAACAGCTGTTGGAAACAGCATCAAGGAAGCCATTGTTCGTCTCTTTGAATCCATTGAAAAAGAACACGGAGAAATCATTATAACTCATTTATATGGTAAGTGTTGATGGGACGAACACCAGTAATTACCAGTTATAGTCTGTTATAGACCTACCATTATGTATCGGGTCTGCCGAAACTTATTTTTAGCTCACCTAGCTTATGCCATACTGCGGCATTCGTCCGTCCGTCTGTCGTCCGTCCGTCGTCTGTCGGTCAACTTTTTCTTTTGAATGACTTCTTCTGAAGAACTGGGAACCTAAGGTCATGATATTTGACCTGTAGGTACCTGGGACGGTGTGCTATAAAGTTCCCTGATTAAAATGACCTTGACCAAGTTTCATGTCACAGGGGTCAAATATGGTAAAAACTTCAAACAACAATTTTCTAAGAACCGTTTAAGAGATGTTAAAATGTCTTGAGAGAGAAAGTTGACATCAATATGGGGAACACTCAGTGCTCTGCATGGCTAACAGATTCTGATGGAAAAAAAGCTCTGTCGCAGGGAGCAATTGTTGCCCTTCTGATATATATTTAATTCAGTAAGAAATGTGAACTACCAAAGTTGTTAATTTTGCTCCTTTGTTTGAGTAAACATCGGTGTTGTTATATTACATACGAACAAACTGTAGAGTTCGTTGCTACAGTAGTTGTATTTGTGTTGCTAGGTTACCTGAGTGCTGCACGTGATGGCTTATCACTGTCGGAGCTCGAAGACATTCTCTCCCTAGACGATGAAGTTCTGCAAGACACGTTTTTGTACCATCTACCTCCAGACCCAGAAAACATCCGCTTCCCGTCGGCTGTCCTCACGCGGGCACTCTTCAGTGTACTAGACTACCTTGTTGAACGCAGGTCTGGTATGACTTCTGTACTCTCCTGGTACCATCGTCAGTTCACAGAGGTAATACATCTCCTCATTATAAACAGATCAACTGAAAATATCTTTCTGTCTAGATATCTGTCACCAACTGGGTATTTTTCAGGCAATAGTCCTATATTTTTATAACATTCTTTTGCTTTTTTTTAAAAAAAAATTTGCAATAATGGTAAGGCAGAGGCGACGTTTGAAGATGACCAGAACCTGTGTTTGTTTAATGAGATCACAGGGACTTCCTCAGTTCCCATTAGTTACTGTTTTCCAGACGACATCTATCCTATTTATGCACAGGTTTTCACCTAATTTGGCTCATGGTTGTATACTGGTAAGTGTTAAGGACAAGTTCAAAGATTACATTGTATATACATTTACATATACAAATGTATTGTAAAAAGGTTGTTGGCTCTTAATGTTAATCTGTGTTGGCCTTCTGGGTAATTCTCTAAAAAGATACAAGTGATGATGAGTTATACTGTTTATGCTTTGTAGACCAGTCGCCAAGATATTGTTGTCTTCCTAATACCACTGTTGCGACCATAGGGAATACTGATATTCCAACACCTTGTGTTACTGTCGTCTCATAATTGTCTCACGAGTATTTTACCTGGATTTCTGTAGATGGCAACAGAACGGTATCTCTCGAAGGATCGTGCTGTGAAGATACATGTATTACTGGCAGACTATTTCCAGGGAGTCTGGTATAAGAAGCGAAAAGCTCTGAAGTTATACAAAAAGAAGACGGCGTCGTACCCTAACGCCGTCCGCTCAGTACCGGAACAGCCCACCCTATACTGCCACAACATGTACAACACACGCAAACTCATCGAACTGCCCTACCACCTCATCAAATGCCAGCGCTATCAGGTGTTCCGTGACATCATAGCTTGCAATTTCAACTTCCTATATGCCAAATGTAAAACACTTGGTGTTGCTGAGGTAATTGAGGATCTCCGTCTGTGTTTGGTTGCCATGGATACAGAGGGTTTCCTGGATGAGGAGATTTACAATGACATCAAATTTGTTCACAAAGTTTTACTGATGGGTGTCAACATCATCCGGAAGGACACTAACAACCTTCCAATACAGGTACACTTTATCCCATCTGATAGATTTTATTTTCCAGTTCCCAGCTTGTAGCCAGTAAGAAATAACTAAATTTCTCAAAAAACTATTTTGTTCAATAATTTTGTTCTTCAAGATAAACTGTTTACAGCTCTGACAAATGGTGTTGGAAGATTATTATGTAGACCTGGCTTCTCAAATTTGTCACACCTAACGCCATTGAATGGAGGCATGATGAGTAAAATGTCCAGGTCACTTAGTTAAAATAGAATTTCACTGACACACTCATTGTGATCGCACTAGCAGCAGTATTTTCTGATAAATTATATTGAAACTTCTTTGATATGTTTGCCTTTGATAACATTAGACTGTTCCAAATATAGACCTGATTGGTTAGAGATCAAGGTCATTGTTGCTAAAAATAGAATATAAATGGTCACACATCAATGGTGATCACTCTAGCTGCTGTATTTCTCGACAGATTAAATGTCACAGGTATATTTACCTTGGAGGTAGGTTTTTACACGTTTGAACATGAGTATGATCAGTCTAAGGTCAAGGTCACTTACTAATAATATGATTTCACTGTCAAACTTATTGTGATCACTCTATCGACTGTATTTCTTGACAGATTTTAATGAAACTTTCGGGAATGCTTGCTTTGCAGTATACTTGTTGACTAGTTTGAACATGGGCATGATCAGTCAAAATTCAAAGTCACTGTTATTATAATGTATTTTCACCTTCACTATTCTTGTGATTACTTTTGGTGGAGTGTCATGTACCGAAGTCTGGTCTCTGTCTCACTATACACAGAGTTATGGCCCTTTGTCCATGTTTGATACTGAAGTCTGTCCAGAGGTGGGGGACTTAGGATTGCTTGCAATACTTCCCCTGGTTTCCTGTAGGCAAAATAAATGTTATATAAGGTGAAACATATTTTAATTAACAGTGATATCTGGTCAGTGTTTTTTTGTTCATTGGTGTCTTTTTCTGTCCCTTGTTGTGGGAACCAGTGACAATTAAAGTAATAAACACATATTTGATAAACAGCTGATGGCCAGACTTGGTAGAACAGTTAAGACAAAGTGGTTGCACAGTCTGGTAAAGGGGGCCCAGGAGTGGTGTGACACAACCTCTACCCCACTACTGGCACCCCGGTCCTTCTGTATGCCCCCACCAGGGGGCGTTCTCCGGGTCACCATCGACATTGAGATCTACCTGACGGAAAGTAAGTGTGGTCTTTCATGGTATTTTTTGTCCTCCTTTCTTATTCAGGTGTGCGATGTAAACAGAAACTTTTGAGATAATGTTTTAGAGCTGAGGCTACAACTTGGCAGAGCCTCATTATACCTAATTCTCTGCCACAGAAAAATGATAGATTCTCTACTAGATATATAAATATCATATGAAAGTGATAATCCTGTATGTAAAGGAACTATATGTTTTATGTTGATTACGCATTGATTACCCTTCTTTGAGGGATGTAAGAATATTTGTTAACCAACTCAATATGACGTGCTGAAAAGTTACATATTTTCATGTCTTCCCACAATGGTAATAAATAGGTTATTTTACCGAATGGAAATGCTCATATTTTCCTGCTCGTTTGAAATAAAAAGCCTAGGCATACTAACAACGGTTCTGCTTCAGTCACTCAGTACTTCAGGGGAAATAACTCTTATTGATTTCTCATAATTTTGTGAAAATGTAACCAAGGAATTGAGCTGCAGGACAGAAATAAACTTTTATTTACTCTGTTACTGGGAGGAGGTATGACAACATGTATTTAACATTTGATTCCCAGATTCCATGTCACGTGACTTGGGTCATGTGATGTACCTACAGGAGGATGTCAATCACTTGTTTGTCCTGACTCCGCCCACATCAAGATTTGACAACACCTTCATCCATATGTTTGACCTAGCAGACAATGGAAGCCGTGTGTTCATGACCAAACTGACAAGGAATTTCATGGCTGTCAATTTCTTGGCCGGGAACAAGTATGTACAATATAACTTATGTAGGTATCACATTTTATGGCCAGGAACAAGTATGTACAATATAAGTTATGTAGATATCACATTTCATGGCCGGGAACAAGTATGTACAATATAAGTTATGTAGATATCATATTTCATGGCAGATCTCTCAATAGACCACGTAACACCCTTTTATGACAGAAAGCACATCTGAAAACACACAAGAGACCATTCACATGGAAAATAATTTTATGACTACAGGTATTCATATGAAGACACACCTATGAAATATCCCCTTGTAAAGAGACCATTCCTCTGAAAACACCCTAAGTTAGCAAGTCTTTTGCTGAATGATATTTTGATCAATCAGGCCTTAATTATTTGGGGATATTTAAACTCCAGATTGAGTGAGCAAATCGTTATAACAGTGATCATTAATCTTGAGTACATAATTTATATTATAAGATGAAAACAATGATTGTGTAATTCTATTATAATTGTGTACAGTTCCTACACTTGTCCAAATACAGTATATATCAATTGGTAGATTGTAAGAGATCTGAAACGCCTTTCTATTGATAGATACATACACGTAAAGGACACGAGAGGATACGACCAGGTATTCCAGTCCAAGTCAGCCACCCCTATGGAACTTCAACATGAGGCACACTGTATCACAGCCTCCAGCTCCGGCAAATACCTCGTCTATTCCAACAGTAAGGGTTTATATAGACCATCCAGTAACAGACAAATACCTCGTCTATTCCAACAGTAAGGGTTTATATAGAACATCAAGTAACAGACAAATACCTCGTCTATTCCAACAGTAAGGGATTACATTGAAACGAAAGAAACGGACGAATACCTCGTCTATTCAAACAGTAAGGGTTTATATAGAACATCAAGTAACAGACAAATACCTCGTCTATTCCAACAGTAAGGGTTTATATAGAACATCAAGTAACAGACAAATACCTCGTCTATTCCAACAGTAAGGGTTTATATAGAACATCAAGTAACAGACAAATACCTCGTCTATTCCAACAGTAAGGGTTTATATAGAACATCAAGTAACAGACAAATACCTCGTCTATTCCAACAGTAAGGGTTTATATAGAACATCAAGTAACAGACAAATACCTCGTCTATTCCAACAGTAAGGGTTTATATAGAACATCAAGTAACAGACAAATACCTCGTCTATTCCAACAGTAAGGGTTTATATAGAACATCAAGTAACAGACAAATACCTCGTCTATTCCAACAGTAAGGGTTTATATAGAACATCAAGTAACAGACAAATACCTCGTCTATTCCAACAGTAAGGGTTTATATAGAACATCAAGTAACAGACAAATACCTCGTCTATTCCAACAGTAAGGGTTTATATAGAACATCAAGTAACAGACAAATACCTCGTCTATTCCAACAGTAAGGGTTTATATAGAACATCAAGTAACAGACAAATACCTCGTCTATTCCAACAGTAAGGGTTTATATAGAACATCAAGTAACAGACAAATACCTCGTCTATTCCAACAGTAAGGGTTTATATAGAACATCAAGTAACAGACAAATACCTCGTCTATTCCAACAGTAAGGGTTTATATAGAACATCAAGTAACAGACAAATACCTCGTCTATTCCAACAGTAAGGGTTTATATAGAACATCAAGTAACAGACAAATACCTCGTCTATTCCAACAGTAAGGGTTTATATAGAACATCAAGTAACAGACAAATACCTCGTCTATTCCAACAGTAAGGGTTTATATAGAACATCAAGTAACAGACAAATACCTCGTCTATTCCAACAGTAAGGGTTTATATAGAACATCAAGTAACAGACAAATACCTCGTCTATTCCAACAGTAAGGGTTTATATAGAACATCAAGTAACAGACAAATACCTCGTCTATTCCAACAGTAAGGGTTTATATAGAACATCAAGTAACAGACAAATACCTCGTCTATTCCAACAGTAAGGGTTTATATAGAACATCAAGTAACAGACAAATACCTCGTCTATTCCAACAGTAAGGGTTTATATAGAACATCAAGTAACAGACAAATACCTCGTCTATTCCAACAGTAAGGGTTTATATAGAACATCAAGTAACAGACAAATACCTCGTCTATTCCAACAGTAAGGGTTTATATAGAACATCAAGTAACAGACAAATACCTCGTCTATTCCAACAGTAAGGGTTTATATAGAACATCAAGTAACAGACAAATACCTCGTCTATTCCAACAGTAAGGGTTTATATAGAACATCAAGTAACAGACAAATACCTCGTCTATTCCAACAGTAAGGGTTTATATAGAACATCAAGTAACAGACAAATACCTCGTCTATTCCAACAGTAAGGGTTTATATAGAACATCAAGTAACAGACAAATACCTCGTCTATTCCAACAGTAAGGGTTTATATAGAACATCAAGTAACAGACAAATACCTCGTCTATTCCAACAGTAAGGGTTTATATAGAACATCAAGTAACAGACAAATACCTCGTCTATTCCAACAGTAAGGGTTTATATAGAACATCAAGTAACAGACAAATACCTCGTCTATTCCAACAGTAAGGGTTTATATAGAACATCAAGTAACAGACAAATACCTCGTCTATTCCAACAGTAAGGGTTTATATAGAACATCAAGTAACAGACAAATACCTCGTCTATTCCAACAGTAAGGGTTTATATAGAACATCAAGTAACAGACAAATACCTCGTCTATTCCAACAGTAAGGGTTTATATAGAACATCAAGTAACAGACAAATACCTCGTCTATTCCAACAGTAAGGGTTTATATAGAACATCAAGTAACAGACAAATACCTCGTCTATTCCAACAGTAAGGGTTTATATAGAACATCAAGTAACAGACAAATACCTCGTCTATTCCAACAGTAAGGGTTTATATAGAACATCAAGTAACAGACAAATACCTCGTCTATTCCAACAGTAAGGGTTTATATAGAACATCAAGTAACAGACAAATACCTCGTCTATTCCAACAGTAAGGGTTTATATAGAACATCAAGTAACAGACAAATACCTCGTCTATTCCAACAGTAAGGGTTTATATAGAACATCAAGTAACAGACAAATACCTCGTCTATTCCAACAGTAAGGGTTTATATAGAACATCAAGTAACAGACAAATACCTCGTCTATTCCAACAGTAAGGGTTTATATAGAACATCAAGTAACAGACAAATACCTCGTCTATTCCAACAGTAAGGGTTTATATAGAACATCAAGTAACAGACAAATACCTCGTCTATTCCAACAGTAAGGGTTTATATAGAACATCAAGTAACAGACAAATACCTCGTCTATTCCAACAGTAAGGGTTTATATAGAACATCAAGTAACAGACAAATACCTCGTCTATTCCAACAGTAAGGGTTTATATAGAACATCAAGTAACAGACAAATACCTCGTCTATTCCAACAGTAAGGGTTTATATAGAACATCAAGTAACAGACAAATACCTCGTCTATTCCAACAGTAAGGGTTTATATAGAACATCAAGTAACAGACAAATACCTCGTCTATTCCAACAGTAAGGGTTTATATAGAACATCAAGTAACAGACAAATACCTCGTCTATTCCAACAGTAAGGGTTTATATAGAACATCAAGTAACAGACAAATACCTCGTCTATTCCAACAGTAAGGGTTTATATAGAACATCAAGTAACAGACAAATACCTCGTCTATTCCAACAGTAAGGGTTTATATAGAACATCAAGTAACAGACAAATACCTCGTCTATTCCAACAGTAAGGGTTTATATAGAACATCAAGTAACAGACAAATACCTCGTCTATTCCAACAGTAAGGGTTTATATAGAACATCAAGTAACAGACAAATACCTCGTCTATTCCAACAGTAAGGGTTTATATAGAACATCAAGTAACAGACAAATACCTCGTCTATTCCAACAGTAAGGGTTTATATAGAACATCAAGTAACAGACAAATACCTCGTCTATTCCAACAGTAAGGGTTTATATAGAACATCAAGTAACAGACAAATACCTCGTCTATTCCAACAGTAAGGGTTTATATAGAACATCAAGTAACAGACAAATACCTCGTCTATTCCAACAGTAAGGGTTTATATAGAACATCAAGTAACAGACAAATACCTCGTCTATTCCAACAGTAAGGGTTTATATAGAACATCAAGTAACAGACAAATACCTCGTCTATTCCAACAGTAAGGGTTTATATAGAACATCAAGTAACAGACAAATACCTCGTCTATTCCAACAGTAAGGGTTTATATAGAACATCAAGTAACAGACAAATACCTCGTCTATTCCAACAGTAAGGGTTTATATAGAACATCAAGTAACAGACAAATACCTCGTCTATTCCAACAGTAAGGGTTTATATAGAACATCAAGTAACAGACAAATACCTCGTCTATTCCAACAGTAAGGGTTTATATAGAACATCAAGTAACAGACAAATACCTCGTCTATTCCAACAGTAAGGGTTTATATAGAATATCAAGTAACAGACAAATACCTCGTCTATTCCAACAGCAAGGGTTTATATAGAACATCAAGTAACAGACAAATACCTCGTCTATTCCAACAGTAAGTGTATATATAGAATATCAAGTAACAGACAAATACCTCGTCCATTCCAACAGTAAGAGTTTATATAGAATATCAAGTAACAGACAAATACCTCGTCTATTCCAAACAGATTTCAACCAAATTTCAGACAAATTTATGAGAATATGAGAAGCAACATTAGAGTAAGCTAGGTGGTTTAGTTTTGTTGAATTTGTGCCCCTTTCCTTTGTGGGTGCTGAAGGGCATGACTAAAAAAAGGGTTATAGACAATTTTGAAGGATCTCTTCAAGATCTGAATAAAGTTTATATGATGTATTTTATAATTTCAGTGTCGAAAGTATATGTTTGTCTCACGGATACTCGTGGTGGTGTGAACAAAATCAAGCATGTGTTGGACACAGATCAACGAGAAAAGGATGTCATTAACTCAGATCAAGACAAGGACAATGAAGGTAGTGAAAATCAATTTCTGTCTAAGAAAAAGACTTATGAGGTGTTCAATCTGATTATCTCCCCTGATGAGAAGTTTCTAGCCGTGTTTAACAACATAAATGGTTACTACAAGGTGTGGAATCTTGAAAAAGGCGAATTTCTGTTTGATGCAAAACAGCCAGATACAGAAGAGATGGACAAGTTTAGTTTTTCATTCTCAGAATATGATGACATTGGAAATGCATCTATAATAACTAACGGTAATATCCTAATCTACAGGAAAGATGGCTACCGTTTTGAAGGCCAGCTGTGCATGTTTGACCTTGAAACAGGAAAATTCCTGCACACCTTGGACAGTGGATCATCCTACCGTCTCACGCTTTTGTCACTTCATCCGACACACTGCTATGTATCTGCTGCCACCTCCACCACTTCCTGCAGTAGCGGTGAGCACGGCAAGGCATGGAAAATCTGGGACGTCAGCAGTGGTGACATGGTTACCAAGGCTACAATACCAGAGTTGTTTAATGACTCTTGGGGCATGCATTGTCTGAAACTTTTTGGCTCGGATAAGATCTTTGCTGTGTCATCACACCACGGGACTAATGGAGCGATACATATATCGTACTGTGGTAGCGTGGATGCCCCGAACTCATCAGTGATCCCCTTCTGCCGCCTAAATAGCCACACCATGGACGTGTTACAGGTGTTAGTGGTTAGTTTCTTACATATAATGTCCTATATAGCAGTCAAATTTTTAGCTGATTTAAAATTTAATATAGCTTGACCGTGCCATCTTGAAAATTTATGTTTGGATTAAGCTGAAATTCTGTTGAGCTAATCACCTCGGCAAATCTAAGAGTTTGGCTTGTCATGTCAGGCTATGTCACTATTAAATCTGTAGGCTGCAGTCAAAAATGATGATGAATGTTGAGGAAGATGGGGTCAGTAAATTTGATGCCATGGTGTGCCCACTTATATTCATTTATTGAGATAAGCAAAGCTGTTATAGAATTTCTGAGAATTTAGTCCATTAAACTGTTCATCCAAATCCTTTCTAGAATTTCAGGTCTAACCTGAATATTCTTGACTAAGACAGAAAGATATTGTCTTTGTCAACCCCTTGGCCTCATAATTATAAGAAATATAACTGTTTTATGTGTAGAGCTCAGACATGAAGCAGCTGATATCTGCTTCCAAGGACAACTGTGTGAAAACCTGGGACCTCAACAAAGTCATGGCCAAGTTTAACACGACAACAGAGGGTTGCTGTGACGACACGGAAATAGCCTCTAAACTGATACCAATGTTTGAAGAGGAGCTTAAGCAGACTTTGACCACTAATGCTATAGGGGTCAGCAGGTAGGGAATGTAGGGTCAGTAAGAAGGGAAAGTAGAGTCAGTAAGAAGGGGTCAGCATGTAGGAAAAGTAGGGTCAGTAAGAAGGGGTCAGCATGTAGGGAAAGTAGGGTCAGTAAGTAGGGGTCACCAGGTAGGGAAAGTAGAGTCAGTAAGAAGGGGTCAGCATGTAGGGAAAGTAGGGTCAGTAAGTAGGGGTCACCAGGTAGGGAAAGTAGAGTCAGTAAGAAGGGGTCAGGAAGTAAAGAAAGTAGGGTCAGTACGTAGGGGTCATCAAATAAGGAAAGTAGGGTCAGTAAGAAGGGGTCACCAGGTAGGGAAAGTAGAGGTCAGTATGTAGGGAAAATAGGGTCAGTAAGAATGGGTCAGCAGGTAGGGAAAGTAGGGTCAGTAAGAAGGGGTCAGGAGGTAGGGAATGTAGGGTATGTAAGAAGGGGTCAGGAGGTAGGGAAAGTAGGGTCAGTAAGTAGGGGTCACCAGGTAGGAAATGTAGGGGTCAGGATGTAGGGTCAGTAAGAAGGGTCAGGAGGTAGGAAAAGTAGGGGTTATGAGGTAGTGGTCAGCAGGTAGGGAAAGTAGTATTCAGTAAGAAGGGGTCAGGAGGTAGGGAAAGTAGAGTCAGTAAGAAGGGGTCAGGAGGTAGGGAAAGTAGGGGTCAGGAGGTAGGGGTCAGCTGGTAGGGAAAGTAGTGGTCAGTAAGAAGGGCCTGCCATTGTTCTAGTTTGATTGTTTCGTTATGTCATTTCATTTGCATTACACAACACTTCTGTGGAATTCCTGTCAACTCTTTCCCTCTCAATCTTTCTCTACATCTCTTTCCCTCAAACTCCTTCCCTCAAACTCCTTCCCTGTTACCAGTTTTGTATTGAGATAAAGTATATTCTGTTTTGTTTTGTTTACTTGTAACAGTGATGCTCGAGAGATTTACCTGGCGCTGTCCAGTGGAGAAATGGTAATTAAAGACCTCAAGTCCAACCAGGTAAAGAGCCGGGTGACCATGACATCTGTACCCCTGTCCTTGTTGTTGGTTGGGTCAGCAGGTGACCTTGTGGTGGCCGCTTCGAAAAAGGGAAACATTGAAGTATGGGACATACAAACAAGTGAGTTCTCTGAGTAAGGAGAAAGGAAGATATGAAGTAATCACTTTGTCAGTGTGTCTTTATATATGTCTGGGCTTCGGTCCATAGTCAGAGTGTCTTTATATATGTCTGGGCTTCGGTCAATAGTTAGTGTGTCTTTATATATGTCTGGGCTTCGGTCCATAGTCAGTGTGTCTATATGTTTGGGCTTCAATCCATAGTCAGTGTGTCTCTATGTTTGGGCTTCGGTCCATAGTCAGTGTGTCTATATGTTTGGGCTTCGGTCCATAGTCAGTGTGTCTATATGTTTGGGCTTCGGTCCATAGTCATTGTGTCTATATGTTTGGGCTTCGGTCCATAGTCAGTGTGTCTATATGTTTGGGCTTCAGTCCATAGTCAGTGTGTCTTTACATATGTCTGGGCTTCGGTCCATAGTCAGTGTGTCTTTACATATGTCTGGGCTTCAGTCCATAGGCAGTGTGTCTTTACATGTGTCTTGGCTTTGGTCCATAGTCAGTGTGATTTTACATATGTCTGGGCTTCGGTCCATAGTCAGTGTGTCTTTACATATGTCTGGGCTTCGGTCCATAGTCAATGTGATTTATCATATGACTGGGCTTCGGTCCATAGTCAGTGTGTCTATATGTTTGGGCTTCAGTCCATAGTCAGTGTGTCTATATGTTTGGGCTTCAGTCCATAGTCAGTGTGTCTTTACATGTGTCTGGGCTTTGGTCCGTAGTCAGTGTGTCTTTAAATGTATCTATGCTTCAGTCAATAGTCAGTGTGTCTTTACATCTGTCTAGGTTTTGGTCCATGGTCAGTGTGTCTTGACATGTGTCTTGGTTTTGGTCCATAGTCAGTGTGTCTTTACATGTGTCTTGGTTTTGGTCCATAGTCAGTGTGTCTTTACATGTGTCTGGGTTTTGGTCCATATTCAGTGTGTCTTTACATGTGTCTGGGCTTTGCTCCATTGTCAGTGTGTCTCCCAGGGGGCAGAAGGGCAGGGACCAATAGGAGAAATAGAGGTAAAACCTTTAAAATTCTTCTTCAACCATCGGGATTATGGGATTTTATCCTTATTTAGTCTGGAGCATCCTCTGGCCAAGGGGATTCAATTTTGTATAAACGGTGGGTATGACCACCCTTGGGGCATAGGGGTGGGGCTCTGTTTGAAGTTTATTCTCGTTATATCTCAAGTACTGGATGGATCTTTCTGAAATTTCATATGTACTTACAGCACCTACGATGGAGTGCTATATCTTTACTTCATACCAATTATTTAAAACATATTCATGTGAGAGATACAGGCCCTTTGGGCCTCTTGTTATTGAACGGCAATATTGCACGGAAATAGCCTGTATAATATAATATGATTGTTTGTTCATTGAAAAGGTTCTGGGGAAAAAGTTTCTGAAACTTATTTTTGTGACGCAGCGAGCTCCAAATAAAATGCATGTAATGCGTCCTTTCGTCAGCCATCAGCACAATTTATATAGAGGAGACGTGTCAGGAAAAAGAGTGTTTCTCGAATTATATAATAAATAGAATCTAACACTCGTGTTCATGTAATATTGAATTTGTCAAACTCGTTTATTAATTTCATATGAAATTAATAAACTTGTTCAATAAATTCAATATTACATGAACACTCGTGTCAGATCCTCTATGAATATGATGATACATTGTAATCTTAAATTCTTCATCTGGGAGTTTAAAAAAAATACTGTCATCCAGCAATAGATTATAATAATCAAGAAATAGATTGTTGCTCCACTTGAGAACCAGACTGTTGTTATCCAAAAATATACTTAAGTTTAGAAATTTGACTGTCATCTGGTTACATCCTGCAAAAAATTATAATCCAGCAAGTCTTAAAATAGATTGGTCAGCATCAGTGAACTTAAAAATTTAGAAAAAATGCATTTCATGATATGTTGAGTTTAGTTAAAACACTGCTGAATTATGTGTCCACAGTTTGAGACCCAATTATTTTGTCCTTTATAGAGGTATTACATGTATAGGGACATACAATAAAGGGCTCTGACTGATAAATAGATTTGGAGAATGGATGCTCTTGATTTTGGCTTAATATTAATGGCCTACTAAGTAATGTTGAATACTTTACTGAGGCCCATCACTAACATTGTATGAGAAAAATGTTTCTTCTTACAGAGGTCATCCACAAGTCTGTCAAGTGTAAACATGACGTGTCATGTATGGCCGAGGCCAGCGACATCCTTGTGGCTGGTCAAGCAGGAATGGAGGCCAAGGGTAGTATCTGGAATATCAGAACAGGTGAGAAACAGAATCATGTACTAGTTTTACACTTTTGACTCTGATATTTAAAAAAAATGTGTTAAACAAATAAATTGATTACTATACATTGGGAAATCTTTGGCCAGTCAAACTTTTGGTAATTGTCAATAAAGGTAAATTAGTGAACATTTTTGTCACTTTTAACCATCAAAGATACGGTGAATCTGCAATAATGAGTATATCTATATACATTTAAACATGTCCACACTATATACAATAGCTGCCAAAATTTCACCAGAAGTAAAAGTTTTAGATTATATGAAGGATAATAAAAAATTAATGGCTTCTTTTAAACTTTCTGTTCTTGATTATTCCATCAACACAATAAAAAAATTCAAGCATCGTCATACTGGCTGAAAATTGTAAAAAACTGGTTCTTCTAATCGCAACTTGTCCAGGCCATAACTTTTAAACCATTAAAGATATCGTGATGAAACTTTAGGTATGTATGCATCACCCACAGCAGGTGTGCAGTACAATGGAATTAGGTCACTGTGACCATCACCTCAAGGTCAAAGGTCAAATAAGTGCATATTTTCAGTAAATTCTTGTCCGGCCCGTAAATTTCAAATCGTTAAAGATATCTTGATCAAGCTTGAACTATATCTGCATCGCTCACAAAAGGTGTGCAGTGCACTGGAACTACATGTATGTCTTGTGCCCCACTATATACAGAGTTATAGCCCTTGTTTAATTAATACTGAAGTTTTCCACAGCATAACTTCCATGTTATTTCACCTACATTGACCAAACTTGCCAAAGTTTTAATGTATCTTGGGAAGTAGGAATGTCGCATTCTAAATTCGAGTCTCGTGCCCCACTATATAAAGCGATATGGCTCTTTGTTAATTTTTTATACCAGAGTTTTTCTATTGGCTAATAAGGGAAGACATATGTTTTTGTTCACAAAAACAAAATTCTAGTTTTCATTGTTATACAGATGTTTTATGATATGATATATTTTTGTTGTTCGACAGGTGATATTATTTTCGTTGTATGACAGGTGATATTATTTTCGTTGTTTGACAGGTGATATTATTTTCGTTGTTTGACAGGTGATATTATTTTCGTTGTTTGACAGGTGATATTATTTTCGTTGTTTGACAGGTGATATTATTTTCGTTGTTTGACAGGTGATATTATTTTCGTTGTTTGACAGGTGATATTATTTTCGTTGTTTGACAGGTGATATTATTTTCGTTGTTTGACAGGTGATATTATTTTCGTTGTTTGACAGGTGATATTATTTTCGTTGTTTGACAGGTGATATTATTTTCGGTGTTTGACAGGTGATATTATTTTCGTTGTTTGACAGGTGATATTATTTTCGTTGTTTGACGACATATTTTTCGTTATTTGACAGGTGATATAATTTTTGTTGTTTGACAGGTGATATAATTTTCGTTGTTTGACAGGTGAATTATTTTCGTTGTTTGACAGGTGATATAATTTTCGTTGTTAGACAGGTGATATGAGTTCATTATTTGACAGGTGATATAATTTTCGTTATTTGACAGGTGATATAATCTTCGTTGTTTGACAGGTGATATAATCTTCGTTGTTTGACAGGTGATATAATTTTCGTTGTTTGACAGGTGATATGAGTTCGTTGTTTGACAGGTTATATAATTTTCGTTATTTGACAGGTGATATAATTTTCGTTGTTTGACAGGTGATATAATTTTCGTTATTTGACAGGTGATATAATCTTCGTTGTTTGACAGGTGATCTAATTTTCGTTATTTGACAGGTGATATAATTTTCGTTATTTGACAGGTGATCTAATTTTCGTTGTTTGACAGGTGATATCATTTTCGTTGTTTGACAGGTGATCTGCTGACAGAATTGTCTCTACTCTACTCCTTCTACTCAGTGGCCATCAACACCAGCGGCACCAAGGTAACCTTTACATTGTAAAGTTATTGTCTTTTAATTATTTAACTTCATCGCTAAATAATATTAACTGATTTCACCAAACTCTAATGGAAATGAACGATGTATTGTTGTTAACAGTTCTTGCTATTTTGGAGTCATTTTAAAATCAGAAGTGTAAAAACGTGTAAGTTGAACTTTAATCCAGATTTTACAGATTAAGCCAGAACTTTGTTGAAATTATCAGTACAGGGTCCTAATCAATTCTTGTTATTAGAAACCAATTTGAAATCCAATATGGCCACCTTGACTGCTATTTTAAAAGTTTGTTTTCAATATGACTCAAATTTTCAGAACTGATTTCACAGAAATTCATTTGAAATATTCATGGAATGGTCCAGACAATTGTTTGTTATTTTCATCTAAAACCTTTCCCCCTGTTAGTTACAGCTAGTGTATGCCCAGCTGTTTGACCATCCTGGTCAGTTTGACCTCAAACTTACCCTCTTTGTTTTACAGTTTGTGTCCAGTATGTTTGACTTCCCAGTAGTGGTCAGTATGAAAGAGAACACAGAATGTGGAATGATGGACATGTCACAAGTGGACACAGATATGTCTGCAGCCAAATGTACCGCGATCAGTCCAGACGAATCCCTTGCCTTGTGTGGCTCAATCGATGGAAGTATCCGGGTCATTGAGATGACTGGTGCCTATAAGTTCCGGCTGGGACAGAAGTCGACCGTCATAACAGCGGTTTTCTCTCCGGACAGTCAAAGTATTGTGTCCGGTGGCTACAAATCTATCTATATTTGGAACATGCTGGATGGCTCCCTAAAGTTCAAGGTCCGGAAGCACGACAATTTTGTTCTCAACATCAAGTTTTACCAGAGGGGTACCCACTTCCTAACAACTGGCCGAGATAAGAGGATTGTGATTTGGGATTTTCGGCGTGGCATCTCGTTGACTACGTTCTATACAGAAAGTCAGGTGGATCTGGTAGAGTTTACACGACGGGGCTATGTTGTTTTTGTTCCAGAGGGAGTCTCTAGTGCTGCTACACTCAAACCAAACCCCGTCCTCAAACAGATGCTCAAGGGCAAGTACAACCTGAACATAGGGGCTACCATAACCAATGCGCAGGGCATGGCTCTGGGCTTCTCCAGTCAGAAGATACAGGCAAACAATGAAAGTGGTGCATGCAATATTTTGTAATTTGGGTGACAACAGATGTGTGACTTGTCAAAACTTGAAGCCGTTGCCCGAGTGGGACTAGTTGTATGGTGAAGCATATTATGGTAGTTATGACAACTAGGTTGGGATAAGATCAGAAACCATGTTACCCGTTTCCCAAATGGATATGTCATATCTTTAAATCATAACAACTAAATAATTACAGTATTACATAAGGTAACTATGGCAACCGTGATAGGATACAGGCAGGGCTAGAATTTTTAACTTTTTTTTGTTTTGTTGCATTTGATTCTTATTTTACCCCCAAGAAATTCTAGATGTTGTTTTACTAATTTAAAAAAGAGAAATCAATGACTACCTAGCTAAGAAAGTGATATATATGTCACTACATAATGCAATTAAAACAAAAACTAAAATAAAAATATGGAGTGCCAGATTATTGCCATTAAAGGACTCAATGTGTTTTACCTTATTGTGCCTCTGTTTACATGTAGCTCACTTGAGTGAAGAGTTATCAAGTTTTTTCAACATTACCTTGACCCGCTTTTATTTCAGGTCATGCGTCAGACTTGTTAAAATCTTTCTATTACTTCCCCTGATGAACCATGTTATCTAGAGTTTATATTTCACCTGTGTCTAGTGCTAGATGAGGAGCTCTAAAGTTTGGTGAAATATATGACCTTGACCGACATTGAAGGACACAATAGCCAAAGGTGATTAAAACTTGAAAACGTCTGTATGACATAGATGCTCCACTCCAATACAAATGGCCATTATTTGACAAACTTCTATAAATAGTATTGGTGACCTTGACTTTGACCTCGGAACCCTGTTTTAAACACTTATTTGAGGTATTACATATATGGCACGCCTTTGTATCTAGAATGATGCAACCAAGTTGAATTGGTTGTCAAATTTCTATATTTAGCAATGGTGACCTAGGCTTCGACCTTATGACCCTGAAATACCAATTCCCTGGAAGTATTCTTATTCACTGGAGAAACGACACTGCATGGATCAGGTTGGGATGGAACAGGGCGGATATGGGTAACACTACATGTATATCCCCCCTTATAATGGTAGGCATACAATCTCAAACTTCTTCTTAAGAACCACAGTGCCTACAGTCATGATATATTTTGTTGGTAGCTTACAGGAATAAAGGACTGTTAAAATGTTCATGGTTCAAATAGATGATAAAAACCCTGAATGACCCCATTGATTCTTACATGATTTGTTGAGATAAGCATTTCTACTTTAATTGTTTTGCTAACATTATTAAATAACCGGCAAGATACACAAGCCCAAAGTGCCTCAAATTTTCCTCATATTCTCACCCTGACCAGATCCGTCATTCAGTTGACAGCTAGATAGATGACACAATCCATTAATTGTTTATGATACCATGTTCAGTAGCTAGATAAATAATGACACAATCTATTAATTGTTTATGATACCATGTTCAGTAGCTAGATAAATAATGACACAATTCATTAATTGTTTATGATACCATGTTCAGTAGCTAGATAAATAATGACACAAGCCATTAATTGTTTATGATACAATGTTCAGTAGCTAGATAAATAATGACACAAGCCATTAATTGTTTATGATACAATGTTCAGTAGCTACGAACATAGCCTATGCAGTTCACGATTATTGACCATTTGTAATTTTGTACATTTTTCTCAAATACTGATCACTCCCACGTATACTGCTTTCAGTCTACGGTATTTAATTATCAGTATACTGGTATACCTGGTATACATTTATGTACAGACCAGTCGCTATAATCCAGTCACCGCTAATTTGGTTATTTCACCATCGAGTCTTTCTCTTTGGAAGAGATTTAGCTTATTGTCCCACATGTTATCCAGCTGTTTCACATTTCAGCCATTTCTACCTTTAAACGAAGGTGGCTGGATTAATGAAACTTGCCTTCAATGGCACTCCACCAAATCTTGTTACTGGTTGTTAACTGTCAAGGTACATGTTTGAAAATGATGGAGTTCATGTATATCTAACGAGGTCACAGACACTTCCTCCACTGGATTGATGGACAAGATTCAGTCATGTTTTCCATTTATATACGGGTTCCATATTGTTTGACGTTGTGCAGGCCACATTGCTAGCTGAAATCCTGCAGGTTTAATGAGAGTGTTACAATATCACATCTGATGAGCACATTCATTCTGTAGGTTTAATGAGAGTGTTACAATATCACATCTGATGAGCACATTCATTCTGTAGGTTTAATGAGAGTGTTACAATATCACATCTGATGAGCACATTCATTCTGTAGGTTTAATGAGAGTGTTACAATATCACATCTGATGAGCACATTCATTCTGTAGGTTTAATGAGAGTGTTACAATATCACATCTGATGAGCACATTCATTCTGTAGGTTTAATGAGAGTGTTACAATATCACATCTGATGAGCACATTCATTCTGTAGGTTTAATGAGAGTGTTACAATATCACATCTGATGAGCACATTCATTCTGTAGGTTTAATGAGAGTGTTACAATATCACATCTGATGAGCACATTCATTCTGTAGGTTTAATGAGAGTGTTACAATATCACATCTGATGAGCACATTCATTCTGTAGGTTTAATGAGAGTGTTACAATATCACATCTGATGAGCACATTCATTCTGTAGGTTTAATGAGAGTGTTACAATATCACATCTGATGAGCACATTCATTCTGTAGGTTTAATGAGAGTGTTACAATATCACATCTGATGAGCACATTCATTCTGTAGGTTTAATGAGAGTGTTACAATATCACATCTGATGAGCACATTCATTCTGTAGGTTTAATGAGAGTGTTACAATATCACATCTGATGAGCACATTCATTCTGTACGTTTAATGAGTGTGTTACAATATCACATCTGATTAGCACAATCATTCTGTAGGTTTAATGAGAGTGTTACAATATCTCATCTGATGAGCTCATTCATTATGTAGGTTTAATGAGAGTGTTACAATATCCCATCTGATGAGCACATTCATTATGTAGGTTTAATTAGAGTGTTACAATATCACATCTTATGAGCACATTCATTCTGTAGGGTTAATGAGAGTGGTACAATATCACATCTGATGAGCACAATCATTCTGTAGGTTTAATGAGAATGTTACAATATCACATCTGATTAGCACATTTATTCTGTACGTTTAATGAGTGTTACAATATCCCATCTGATGAGCACATTCATTATGTTGGTTTAATGAGAGTGTTACAATATCACATCTGATGAGCACATTCATTCTGTAGGTTTAATGAGTGTGTTACAATATCAAATCTGATGAGCACATTCATTCTGTAGGTTTAATGAGAGTGTTACAATATCCCATCTGATGAGCACATTCATTATGTAGGTTTAATGAGAGTGTTACAATATCACATCTGATGAGCACATTCATTCTGTAGGTTTAATGAGAATGTTACAATATCACATCTGATGAGCACATTCATTCTGCAAGTTTGCTGTGTTGTTTTTGTTTTTAATTCTTTCACAGTTGATGAATTTTATTTTTATATCTATGTATAATGGAGGTTTGATCTCATTTTAGGGTACCTTATTGTTTTGTATGTTATTAACTTATTACAAATATAAAAAACATCGAACATTTAATGTAGAATTTTATAAACTCTAGCCCAAACGACCATATCACGACCATGTCATGGTGTGGCATCTGTCTGTTCGTCAAATTTTCACTACAAAAGGCACAAGGGTCCTGTGAGCTTATCCGATACCTCAGTATCTGTACAGCATATTTCTTCTTCTTGGCACAAGTCCAAGTGAGTTAACACTGCCAGTTGGTTAAGCATTGGAAACCATACCACTGCCTTCCTCCGAGTGTTGTTCCTTGATCGAAATTTGGAACAAATTATTATTCTTGTTAAAGCATCTACATGAGGAGATATATATATAAACATGCTCACAGCCAGGACAGCACCATCCCACCAAGCTGTGGAACTAGCCAGGACAGCTTGTATGAAGGTGAATAAATTTCGTCATATGAGGTAAACAAGTTGCAAGCTATCTTGCATGCAACGACACGTCATTTGGGAACACGCGCCCCCAAACTGACTTGTAGGCGACATGTCGACTCTTTGACATAGCCCTTAACCCGAATATAGGTGGGATCAATTGAATTATAATAAGATAAATAGCTAGAAAAATACATATTTTGTGTATAAATGGAAGCTTTTCATTTATTGTCTAGTTTAGATAGGGACAGGTTAGCTGCGGGAACCGTAGCTTCTATGTCCAATTTTTATTTTTTATTATTGTTATCGGACCGCAATAAAAAATAAAATAAAATAAAAATCGGACATGGAAGCTACGGTTCCCGCAGCTAGGGACAGGTGAGCCATACAGGCCCAATGTTTTGTGTATGTTTGTAAAAATGATTATTTTTGATATTATGTTTTTTTCTATTTTTAAACAACTTCCTATTCCCCGATATATGTTTACATTGGTTTCTACAAGGATTTAACTCCTGAATGTTGAAGTGCAGCTTTCAAATTCTAACATTATATTTTGCACATTGAGAAATAAAAACTGTTCACAATGACAATTTTCTTTAATTTTCATTTGATACACTTGGCTGAAAAAGCTGACAATGTTAGACCTATTAAAGTCACCACTACAACACTTACTCTTTTTGGTAGAAATTCAGTGGATGGGTCACAGATCCAGTCTTAAATATATTCTAATAAATGTTTATTTGTTATTGATTTCAAAATGATCATGTGAGATACTGGTGTTGCTATCCCTCATCTCCCTAACCTCTGATTGGCTGAGTCTTTTTTATTTCTTTTAGATGAAGTGTTTTTTCTTCTTCTACTGAACCAAATAACTCAAAAATAAGAACAAATGACATCCTGACCAAGTGTAGTTACTTTTCATACCACACCAAAACTCCAAAATGACTACCCAGAGACTGAAAGATTTGATATGAAAACAAAATTATCAATTTGAAAACGATTTTACTTCTCTGTAATAACTCATAAATGTATTCTAAAATGTATTCATAATTTGCTACTTCAGTACAAACTATATATATATATAATGGATTTGGTACAAGCAACATGTTTCGTTTTACATTGAAATCTGCAAAATAAACAACCGGTTAAAAAATGAAAGTATGGTGTTCTTTCACCAACAGAACGATGTTTTGTTTTAAGTTAAGCCATCTAGATATCTTGATACTTTGTTATGTTTACATCATATTCCATAATCATGTGTTATAATATTCATCTTTAATTCAGTCATGAATACATAATTCTTTATAAAAAAAAAACCAGAATCACAGTTCTCGACGAAGAGTACATATGTCACTATTATTTGCTATTTACTATTGTGCCTAATTCAGAAACATAGTTATTTGTAGTATTTTAACTTGGGTTTATGTTGTTTTTAATCTATTTAGCTAAATTGCTTATGTCAGAGACAAAAATTGACATACATTTTTTTTGAGATGGAGACAAAATTAGGGAGGGGACTTATTTGCAGGCACCAACCCTATTCCCAGGACATTTGCCAAAGTGGGAATGGGGCTTATCTGAGAGAGAGGGCTTATTTATGGTCAAATACGGTAATTGACTCCCATCATAGTAGTTTTCCTTATAAGATTAACACAAAATAGTATTTTCTTGTTGAACTGAAAATCCAGTGCAAGTGCCCTGGCTTCTGTCACAAGACATTTATGACTTTAAAAGAACTACTGAAATAATTAGGGCCCTGTATCGGAGATACGGGTGCCCTATAGTAATCACTCTGTCTGTCTGTCTGTCCTTCTGTCCACAAATTTTTGTTCCTGACTGATAACTTTGGTATTTATTGACCGATTTACATGAAACTTGGTCAAGATGTTCAGTTCACAAAAAAACACACTGAGGTAAAAAGTCAAGGTCAAAGTCATTAGGTTCAAAGGTCAAGGTCAAATTTTGCATCTTTTCACTGATGAACATTTTGTTATGACATGATGGAGCAAAGTTGATCAGAATTAAACAAGGAGTCACCTGACCAGAGGTCAAGGTCAAATTTTGTAGCTTTTCACTAATGAGCATTTTATGACATTATTATGCAAAGTTGGTCGGAATTAAACAAAAGACACACTGAGGTAAAAAGTGAATGTCAAAGGTCAAGATCATTAGGTTCAAAGGTCAAGGTCAAATTTTGCATCTTTTCACTGAAGCAAAGTTAATCAGAATTAAACAAGGAGTCGACTGACTTAAGGTCAAGGTCACTGGGTCAATGTCAAGGTCAAATATTGTATCTTTTTACTGATGAACAATTTTTGTATGTTATTATAAAAACAAAGTTGTTCAGAACTTAATACGGAGTCAACTGACCAAAGGTCCAGGTTATGGGGTCCAAAGGTGCAAGGTCAAGGCCAAGTTTTGTATTTTTCACTGATGAACATTTTGTTATGACATTATGAAGCAAAGTTGGTCGGAATTAAAGAATAAGTCAACTGACTGAGTTAAAAGGTCGAGGTCATTTTGGTCCAAAGATCAAAGACAAAGTGGATCTCTGACTTTGACCCTGGCTTTTGATGGGGGAGGTATTTAAGGTAAAATAAAACAAATCAAAGCTTACAAATGATTATTGCACCGGTATTTACATTTCTGTTAGCCCAGTAATCACGGAGATGGAAGGAAACAAGACTCGCATCATAGTACATGTAAAATGTATATTTTGCTTCCTTGCGATTCTTTTTGAAGTCCAAATGTCAAATATCAAGCTCAGCTATATGGGCAGATTGCTTCTTGATGATTATGGGGGATATATTGCCACAAGACGGGGCCCTTACTGACCTGTCCGTGTTCTAGTTGACTCTGTAAAAAGGTTACCGACATGGTCACCAATGTGTGAGGATATGAAAATCCAAGATGGCTGCTCTGACCTCTGTTTGGCAGACTTCGTTGCAGTTGACTCCATACTCTGTACAAATGTTCCTTATAAAGTCACCACCAAGTGTTCAACTTTTTGATCAGACTTACTATACATGTTACTTTCAGTCACATAGTAGCACTATTCTTAATTCTCATCCAGTAATCCAAGATTCTGGCCACGGATTGGCTTTCTCAACTCCATCTCAAGAACAGCTGAAGAGAGGTTTATTTCCAACTCTGTACATACTGTCCATACTAGGTGATTGTATGAGATACCAGCTAAGTGTTCTCACATTTTTTTAACCTTTTCTTCTCCAGAACAGATGTAGTGATTGATTTCGATGGAACTGACGTGAGCATCACTTAACTATGACCTTCAACCATATTACAATGTTATCATCCATCATGAGGTCTCTACAAACCAGCATTTGTTAATATCTATGGAACAGGGTAATGCCTGCAAATGCTCAACACCTAGCGAGAAAATGTGACTTCAATTGAACCTGGAATCCATATTGTTTTTGCAGATCACCCTCAAAATGACACATGGGCAACTTAGAACTAAGGGAAACATTCATATGAAATTTGAGAGATCTGTCAAATAATTCTTGAGTCATAGTAAACGGGGCGGAATCGGACTTGAGCAACGTGAGAAGTGGAGTCCCCAGGGCAGCGTACTGAGACCGGTACTTTTTCTGGTGTACATAAATGACATGCCCGACACAATAAACTCCATCATCAAACTGTTTGCAGAAGAATCAAAAATGTACGGGAAAGTCAAAAACCTTGAGGATAGCAAGATCTTACAATCCGACCTAAACCAACTCGACAAATGGCCAAACACTTAAACTTAAACACAACTTAAATTCAACATTGATAAATGCAAAGAACTACAGTTAGGACACAATAACAACAAATATGAGTATACCCTTGGAGGACTTGAGACGTCGTCACTAGACAGGGATCGAGGTGTAACCATGGATGAAAATCTGAAATTTAGCGAACTTATAGCAACTTCAGTAAAGAAAGCCAATAGACTAGCTAGGTCTCATCAATAGAACGTTCAGTCAACTCACACCTGATATGGTTGTTCCACTCTTTAAATCACTAATACGCCCGAGAAAAGTGTATGCGGTACCACTATGGAATACCCCAAATCAAGAGAGATGTCCAAAGACTGGAAAATGTCCAGCGACGTGCCACTAAGTTAGTGAAAGGACACGAACATTTAACATACCAAGAAAGGTTGAGGAGATTAGGACTACCCCCTCTTCAATACCACAGTAAAAGATACGACATGATACAAACGTACAGAATCTTGTCGGGTAAGACAAAATCGAAAAAGAGGGTATAACTCCGGACGAACTAGAGGGCACAGCAAAAAACTCAAAAAAACAAATACCAGGCTGATATGCCGAAAAAACTGTTACAATGTCCGAGTGAGTAACGACTGGAACAGCTTATCCGAGCACGTGGTGAGCAGCAAATCAATAAACGAATTTAAGAGTAAGGTGAACAACTACTGGAAAGGTATGAATATCAAATTCAATCCTGACTGCTATACTTACGAGTCAAAATACCATCTACTGAAGACAAGGTTCTACAAGTGTGAAACTGTTTTTGTGACAGTCAAAACAAGGATATCGTAATAGCACTGCGTGGAATATAGTTGTTACATAATACACATTAACATAAAATAGTATGTGACCAAGTGACAAATGTGTAAATATTATTAACCATACATTGAGTAACGGAATATAGTATAGAAATTGCGCAGTCTGGCACTGAATAAAGTACCCGATCCAGATAAGGGGCCCAATTTAAATTTAAAGTATGGTTAAATCGGCCCATGGTAAAATCGGCCTCGTTTTACCCAAGTGAAATCGGCCCAAGTTAAAATCGGCCCTATGTATTCATGGAATATACATAAATGTTATAATAACCCCTTTATTTGGGTTTCATTTATGTATCAACCTCTGAACATATATTCCACAAAGGGAGGTAACCTGTACTAATGTAATCTGTTATATACGTCGAGGAAGATGGTTATCTTTTTGTGTGTAAAAAGGTAAAGTATAATCTGAAACACTGACATTATTTAATTAGATTGAATTATTCGAATAATTTTGTTTGATATGATTAATGAGGAAGTTAGCCGATGCATACATTTTTTTCTTTAAAAACTATACATCGTTACCAGCTCTTGCCACGTGGAGGCCTCCTCTTTAAGAGCCATAATGTTTAGTTGATTGGGGGATTTGGGTTGAATTCAGCGGTATGAATTTTTTACATTTTCTAGCTGAAATGAAGATTGTACTCTTTTATTACATGTAGAGTAAGACTTATATGTGAGCGGCATTTTACTTTCGTTATATAGAAACTTGGCGTCGTTTTTTAGGCTTTCAATAGTAGGGTGTCGGGAAAACATACCCTCAAGTTTTACTTGATGTTTCCTTATTCCGTCTTCCGTGTATTATCTTAAAATCGGCGTAAGACATAAGAAGCAGACTTTTGCTACATTTTTGCAATTGTAATATGAGAAAGAGAAATGCAACGGCCAGACAGGGGTTTGAACCCGGTACCCTCCGAACTCTAGACAGACGCTCCACCAATTGAGCTAGCTACCTAGCAGCCGACGATCGACCCAGTCGATTTCCGCTATATTCCTCCATTAACAAAGTCTTCGACCCCGAAGACACACGAGACCCTATATCACCTGCTGTTGGTATATTTCGTTGGGCGCCAAATATATAATAAGAGAAAGAGAAATACAACGGCCAGACCGGAATTCGAACCCAAGACCCTCTGAACTCTAGACGGACGCTCCACCAATTGAGCTACCTAGTCGCCGGCGATCGACCCAGTCAAATTCCGTTACATAATACTTCATGTAATTTAATTATGCTATATCATATGTTGTCAGATTGCACGTTTTATCACCATTCAAGATGGCATCATAGCGAAGAACCACGGAATTAGATTATGCTATCTAAATTCGTGGAAAACCAATTAAAGTTCATCCTGAAATGAAAATCAGCTGCAAAATGTAATGTTCTTCCTTAAGCTTAAGAGTCCTGCGTTTCGAGACGAAATAAGACCGGGACAAGACCTATAGTATCCTAAATTTACCTAGTGTATCCACAGAGTATTTTACTGGTTATTAAACATATATGGTCTTCTAATCAAAGTTAATTGCATGAAACACAGCAATATGGGAGTATACGTCTAAAAATCGGTCTCCTGTATGTTGTACGCCAAAAGAAAATACAAGGTACTGAGGGGCTGTTTTCGTCCCGCCACGCAAAACAATATTGAAGGTCCGTGACGTTGACGGCTTCTCTCCAAAAGTAAATGAAATCAGATTTAGACACAAAGACCCGTTTTTTTGTCTTTTTTCCTTCAAATTCCAGCTTACTTACTTCCGACATGGCCAGAGAATGACCTTGATATTAAGAAAATGAACTTTTAATTAACACCGCATAAATTCTTTAGTTACTTTTTGTGAATCTACAGGACTATCCAGTTAGCATCATAATGTGTTTATTTGTACTGATGGACGGATCCAGGAATTTTGAAACCTTGGCATTTGGAGAGGACATTTTTGGTTACATGCAAGCGTCGAATCTGTGAAGTCCTTCTAAGAAGTCCGGACACCCGTCACACACCATCAAAGGAGG